TTTTTTTATATTGAGATAGTTGACATATGGTGAACAACACGTATTTAAAGCATACCATTTGATAAATTTTGATGAATGTTTACCTTCACAATTAAGATAATGAGCATATTTGTCACCCCAAAAATTATAGATAAGTTTTTTAAATTTTTATTTTTTAAGTCAATATATAATAAAATTGACCTTTTTGGTATATAGATTTATTAATTCAAATACATGTATAGAATTCATGTAAGTCATCACCAAAACCAGGATACACATAATTCCCATCACCCTAAAAATCTCCCTGATGCTATTCTCTGTCCTCACATATTCCTGTCTCCCCACCATAAACTCCTGGCAACCACTGATTGTTCTCTGTCTCTATAGTTTTGTCTTTCCTAAAATGTCATATAAATGGAGTCCCACAGCACATACCCTTTAGAGATGGGTGTTTCTCACTCCTCAAAATGCCTTTGATGTTCATGCCAGTCATTGCAGTCTATCAGTAGTTTCTTTATCTTTTTCTCTTCTTTTCTTTTCTTTTTCTTTCTTAGCCAATTAGTACCCCACTGTCTGGTTAAACCCCAGTTTGTTCATCCATTCTCCTAATGAAGTACATTTGGGTTGTTCCTGGGTTTTGGTAATTATGAATAGAACTGATATATTAGTCCATCTCTGTTGCTTATCCAAAATACCTGAAACTGGGTAATTTATAAAGAAATAAAATTTATTCCTTACGGTTTCAGAGGCTGGGAAGTCCAACGTCCAGGGAACACATGTGATGAAGGCCTTCTTTGGTGGTGACTCTACAGCAATGCAGGTGTCACATGGCAGGAATGGCTGAATAAGAGAGCTAATTCCTCATAGAAATAAAATTTATTCCTTACGGTTTCAGAGGCTGGGAAGTCCAACGTCCAGGGAACACATCTGATGAAGGCCTTCTTTGGTGGTGACTCTACAGCAATGCAGGTGTCACATGGCAGGAATGGCTGAATAAGAGAGCTAATTCCTCACTCGCTCTCCTTTTAAAGCCATCAGAACCACACCCATTACTCTATGAATGGATCAATCCATTTACCAGGGCACAGTCCTCACAGAGGACTAATCACCTCTCAAAGGCCCCACCTTTCAATTATCATGATAGGAGATCCAACCCTCTGAACACTGTCACAGTGGGAATTCAGTTTCTATGAGTTTGAGGGAGACATTCAATCCATAGCATTATGCCCCTGACCCCACAAAACTCATGTTATTCTCACAGGTAAATACATTCATTCCATTCCCAAAGTTTTAACTTGTTTTAACTCAAAAGTCCAAAAACCAAAGTCTTATCTGTGAAATAAAACAAATTATTTACTTCAAGATATAATGTTGGGAAAACATAGGGTACAATACTCCCATTCAAAAGGGAGAAATAGGCCAAAAAAAAAAAGGGGTAAAAGGTCCTCAACAAGTCTGAAACCCAGGAGGGCAGGCATCAAATCTTAATCCTGAAGAATATACCTTGACTCCTGGTGAGGTATCCTCTGCATATTGGTATGGGGTTTGGGTCTCCAGGTCTTAAGAAGCCCCACTCAGAGGGCTTTCCTGATCTCAGGCCATGCTTCAGCTCTCCCAGGTTGGTGTTCTGCTCTGGTAGCTCTACAATTCTGGAGTCTTTATGGCAGTGGTCCTGCTTCCACAGCTCCACTAGGCATGGACCCACTGGGGGTTCTCTGCTGCAACTCCAACCCCATGTTTCTGCTCAGCATTGCTCTAAAGCTGTCTGTGGTGACTCTGCCCCTGTGACAGATCTCTTCCTGGGTCTCCAGGCTTTTCCATACATCCTTTGAAATCTTAGTGGCACAGCTCTGGCATTCTACAAGCCTGCAGACTTACCACCACATGGATGCTGCCAAGGTTTCTGGCCTGTGTCTTTTGAGCTGTAGGTTCAGCAGCACCTGTGGCCAGTTTAGTACAGATGGGGCAGCTGGAGCAGCTGGGGTTTGAGAAGCAGCATCCCGAGGAGGACCTGGGAAGTGAGCCTGTGGAGGGTGTTTTGGGCCTGTTCCCCAAAACCATTCTTTCTTTCTAGGCCACTGGGCCAGTGCTGGGAGGTGATATCTCAAAAGATCTCTGAAATGCCCTTGCAATTTTTCTTCCACTCTCTTGATACTCCCTTCCTTCCATACAAATCTCCCTAGCAAATGGTCACTGGTCTACACCCTTGGTTTCCTCTTTCTAACAGACTTTCTCACTTTTTATGTGGCTAGGCTGAGAGTTTTCCAATTTTTACCCTCTACTTCCCTTTTAATTATTAATTCTGCCTTTACTTCATGCCTTTTCTGTCATAATTCAGTGTAGGTTGTTGCAAGTAGCCACATGGCAGCCTGAATGCTTTGCTGCTTAGAAATTTCTTCTATCATATACCCTGGTTCAGCACCCTTAAATTCTACATTCCATAAAACTTTTGAGCATAAACAGAAAACAGACAAGTTCCTTGCAAGTCATAGAAAGGGTGATCTTTGCCCCAGATTCCAATAAGCTCCTTCTCATTTACATCTAAGATCTCCTCAGTATGACCTTTACTGTCCATCTTTCTATCAGCATTCTGCTCACCACCATTTATCCCATGTCTAAAACATCCCAAACTTGCTCTGGTTTTCTTGTCTTCTGAACTTCCACTAGCATCTAGTCTTTTTCTAGCCTGCCCCTCCAAATTCTTCCAGTCTCTGTCCAACACCCAGTTCCAAAGCCGCTTCCAAATTTTCAAGTATTTGTTATGAGCAATACCACACTTCTCTGGTACCAATTTTTTGTATTAGTCCAATTTTGTTGCTTATAACAAAGTACCTGAAACTGGGTAACTTATAAAGAAATAAAATTTATTCCTTGCAGTTTCAGAACTGGGAAGTACAAAGTCCAGGGAACACATCTGTTGAAGGCCTTCTTTGGTGGTGACTCTACAGTGACACAGGGTGTCACATGGCAGGAATTGGTGATCAAGAGAGAACTAACTCCTCATTTGATCTCCTTTTAAAGCTATCAGAACCACAGCATTACTCCATAAATGGATCAATCTATTCACCAGGGCACAGTCCTCAAAATCTAGTCACCTCCCAAAGGCCCCACCTTTCAATTACCATAATCGGATTTTCAGTCCTCTTAAAACTATCACAGTGGGGATTAAGTTTCTATGACTTTGGAGAGACATTCAATTCACAGCAGCTGATATAAACATTAGTATACAGGTATGTATATAGGTTAGTTTTTTGGTTTTTTTTAAAGATTCTTTTATGCCTTGTCTCATAAATAATAATGAAATGAAGACCAACTTTTTCAGTGTACAAAAAGGGGAGGGGTTTCAGATGAATTCTTAGAGAGATGAACTCTTTCAACAAGACATCNCTTCTTCAGAAATATAAATCATGGATTTATTATTGATTGATTGATTGATTTACTTATCTTACTCAATAAATATGTACTGAACACCTACTATGTGCCAGGCACTGTTATAAGCATATATTTTCCATGACATTTTTAGTATATTAGCATCTCATTATTATTGGAACTTTTTTTTTTACAGGAGCCAATTTTACAGCTCGATCCAAGCCATTTGCTGTCATGCCTGTGACTAGGAAGGAGAGCTCAACCATCATTCTGGCTACTTCTCTGAGCTCCATGGTCTCATGGCTGGCTCTCAGCTGTCTGGTGTGCTGCTGGTTTAAAAAAAGCAAAAGGAGAAGTACATAGATTTTTTTTTTTTTAAATAAAAATGTCTGAAAAAAATGCCATCATGTATAATATATTAACAATTCTTTTTCTTTCCCCCAAAGACAAATATTTATGAGCTTCTGCAACATATAAAACTACGTGGAGCCAAATTGTTCAATTAATACTGTAGAGACAAGGATTGCCTAATCTTAAATAATAATTCAATTATTATTTACAAAAAGGGGAGGGGTTTCAGATGAATTCTTAGAGAGATGAACTCTTTCAACAAGACATCCCCTTTTGTCCCATCATCCATAGACAAAGGGGCCCTATCTGCCATTGCTCTTCTACAGTTTTCCAGATAACACAATCCTGTTGGATATTAGAAAGTCTCTTGATGCTGAAGTAGGAGTCCCTGTGCTCCTGTTTTGATGTGTTATGTAACATATTTTAAGTAGATATGTATGTCAGTGAGTAGCTTCACACATTCTAGAGTCGAGAAAATTTTTGTTCTAATTAGTGGAGCATAAGAGTGAATGAAGCTGCAGTTTTGCATTGGTGGAGAAGTTGGGTTTGAAAATAAAAGAAGAGAATTGGAAGAATTCCCCATCAGTAATGCTCTGAATTGGAAAAAAACACTATTATGTGTTACTGTTGGAATACTGCACTTCTTCAGAAATATAAATCATGGATTTATTATTGATTGATTGATTGATTTACTTATCTTAATAAATATGTACTGAACACCTACTATGTGCCAGGCACTGTTATAAGCATATATTTTCCATGACATTTTTAGTATATTAGCATCTCATTATTATTGGAACTTTTTTTTTTACAGGAGCCAATTTTACAGCTCGATCCAAGCCATTTGCTGTCATGCCTGTGACTAGGAAGGAGAGCTCAACCATCATTCTGGCTACTTCTCTGAGCTCCGTGGTCTCATGGCTGGCTCTCAGCTGTCTGGTGTGCTGCTGGTTTAAAAAAAGCAAAAGGAGAAGTACATAGATTTTTTTTTTTAATAAAAATGTCTGAAAAAAATGCCATCATGTATAATATATTAACAATTCTTTTTCTTTCCCCCAAAGACAAATATTTATGAGCTTCTGCAACATATAAAACTACATGGAGCCAAATTAATACTGTAGAGACAAGGATTGCCTAATCTTAAATAATAATAGCAATAGTAATAAAAGCTTGTATTTATTGAATATTCACTATGGACCAGGTTCTAAGTACTTTAGATAAATGAATTTATTTAATCCTCACAACAACCCAGTGAGATAGACACTAAATATTACCCCTCTATATATTATGGATACAGAGAATGAGGCACAGAAAGGGTAAGTAAATTGCCCAAGATCATACAACCACAAAAAACCAAGCAGTTTGGCTCCAGGTCCCACTCTCTGAAACACTGTGTTCCACCGCCAGGTGACCCTGCAAAAGGCAAGTTAAAGAATCAGAGGATGATGTCCTTTTCTCCTTGAAGAGGAAAGAGAGTGCTTGGTTGGTGGTTTTTTTTTTTTTTTTTTCCTAAAAGGGTAGAAATTAAGTATGTTCTTGAACGTTTTCCCAGAAGCAGACTGTTTTTTTTTTTTTTTTTTTTAGGCTGGAGACATGGAGTCATTGAGGGAAAGATGTTCTGTAGAAGAGTCTTCTTTCAATCTTTCTACCCTGTTCTTATAGTGGAGAGAGAGGAGCAGATTGGGCATTGGCAATTTCCTTACTTTACCCATACTCCATGTCCCAGACCATCAAATGAGCAGAAGAAACACTTGTGACACTAGGAAGTACTACAAAACCAAAGTTATAAGCAAGAGTGAATAAAACAGAGCCAACATGAGTAGAGGCAAAGAGAAAAAGTCAAAGAAAAGGAAGAAAAGAGGACGTAGTGTGGTTCCACTACTAGAACATTCACTTGCTTGGATTTCTGAGAGTACTTGGGAAGGGAAGCCCCACTAGATACACACTCTGTGTCTGAGCTGAGCTTCAGTCTGGTACACCTGCCCCTCTCCCTGTCCTGGCATTCTGGGCTGGACAAGCCCCAAGGAAACTCCCTGTCTTTCTCAGGAAGAATGAGATCTCCACCTGATTCTGCCCTGTGTTACTTGTGATTTGTTGAACTGCAGTTTTTTGGTATTTTTTAATCTAACATTTTATCGTGTGTGTGTGTATGTGTGTGTGTAGTGCTTTTTGGTTTGTAAGCAGACTTTCCATAATTTTTTATCTCATGTGAAGTAGGTGATTTGTCATTCTCCATGTTATATCTCAACCCACTAGCCATACAGTAGCCTCTCACTAGGCTTTGCTAACCTCACTTCTTCTGCTTTGTTCTCTCAGCCCTAGAGGTAGCTTCTTCCTACGGTTACTAATATATCTGTTACCTGTGTCCTCTTTCGCTCTTTCAAACTTTCAGTACATGTGGGCACATTTCCCGGTCTTAAATCCCAATATATTCCTGCCTTGACATAGACTCCCAACTATGTTAAACATCAACAATTTTAAAAAAAAGAGATTTGAAGGAAATTCATGAAAAAAATTTACAGTAGTCAACTCTATGAGCAATTTATATTTTCTCCTGTATTTTGTACTTTTAAAATTTCTAAAATTAGCATACATTACTTTCAAATCAGAAAAATAAATTGTTTCCCAACTTCCTAATAGAAGATAATTCTTCAATTCAGCTGTATGCTCTGTCAGCAGTTTTCAAAATTTTGGTGTCAGGACTTTGTTATATTCTCAGTAATTGTTGAGAACTTTCAGAACGTTTGTCTGTGGGTTCTATCCATCAGTATTTCCAAACCAGAAGTTAAAACAGAAAACTTTAAATTTACTTATTAATTTACTTTAAGGTAACAATAATGCATGCATTACATGTAGACATAATTAATATTTTTTGTTTAGAAAAAAGCTGTTTCCGGGCTGGCCCGGTGGCGCACTCGGTAGAGTGGGGCACTTGGGAGTGCGGCAGCGCTCCCGCCGAGGGTTCGGATCCCATATAGAGACCCGTCAGCTCACTGGTTGAGCGCGGTGCGGACACGACACCGAGGGTTGCTATCCCATTACCAGTCACGAAAAAAGACAAAAAAAAAAAAAAAAGCTGTTTCCAAAAAAAAAAAAAAAAAAATGTAGTGAAAAAGAGTGGCATTTTTACCAACCTTTTTAATGTTTGCCCTAACAGAAGTCAGCTGGAATCTCTTAGCAGCTTTCTGCATTCAGTCTGTTGGAAAGTATTGTTTTGGCTGAAGTATATAAAGAAAATCCAGCCTTACACAGATATATATTTGTAATAGAAAAGGGAAGTGTGTTTTAATAGTCTTCATAGATATTCTTTGATACTGCACCCAGACCTGACAAGAGGTGCTTGCTTAAAGGTTCATGTCAACGTCCTTTGGTATTCTGTTGCATGAAAACTCACTATTTATCTTGTACTTTGAATAGAGCTTTTACCCATGCAAGATTTTGAAATATTATGCTCTGGCCATTTGAAAAATACTGTTTTACTGAGTTATGCACATCTTCTGAATGTTGATATATTTTATTGTAGAATTCAAAAAGTCACATTTGTTAATATCAACATGAATCTTTTAGAATTGGAGATCTGTGAAGCTTATGGTAGATGACACAAGTTTTCCAAAATTCTAAATTTCCCACGAAAGCTTGAATTTTATCACTGGCAACATACACTGTAAGTGGTTTCTTTGTTAAAAGCTCACTTTATTCATTCAAAAAATCTGCCAAAAACCCAAGTATAAATAACCATAACTTATTTCTCATTCTTTTAAGTTTTTTCAAGTAAAAATGGTGTTTCATAAAAAAAAAATCATCTAGTTCAGTTCAAAATTGAATTTTTTTCAGTTTTATTACAAAATTGCTTTTCCTTGAGAAAAATCATTATATATATTTTTAATATAATTAATTTCCTTTACTGCTTCATCAAAGACATTCTTACATGAAACAAGATTGGGGGTTTTTTTGGTTGTTTGTTTTTTGCTGTTGTGTTTTGTTCTACTGCAATTTCATCTTAGGGTATATCCTTCTTGATCACACCCATCCAAATCCAAAAATATCTACTTTCTCCCCCACAATTATCTCTTTTTCATGCCAATTCATGGTATTACCTGATGTTATATGACAAATGTATTTGTTTATTTTCTGCCATCCAACTAGAATAAGAGCTGTATAAGGACAAGGACCAGGTCTTTCTTCCTCACCATAGTCTTCCCAGTACCTAGCATGAAGAGTGTAAATATATTTTTGACAAATGCATTTATTAAATAAATGAATAGCAGGTAAAGTATCTCTTCAGTCAAGGATAGACTGAAAATATGAAGACTTCAATCTATAGCACACATCTGCTTGAATTCTTTGGATTGCACTGATGTCAATTTCCTGGTTTTGATTTCATACTACAGTTACATAGGTTGCCAACCATGGAGGAGGCTGGGTGAAGGCACATGTGTCCTCCCTGAACATTTCTGGGTGACTTGCTGTAAATCTATAATTATTTAAAAATAAAAGCTTAAAAAATATTGTAGCATTCTGTTACTAACTAACCATCTTCATCCAAGAGAAATATGATGAGCCACAAATGCAATGCACGTATGTAATTCTCTAGAAGCTATTTAACTCAATATATCACAAATATTATTTCAATATGTAATGAATATATAAAAATTAGGTATTTTACATTTTTCAGAAGCAGGTGTGCATTTTATACTTACAACACATCTAAATTTAAACTAGTCACATTCCAAGCGTTCAGTAGCCACATGTGACTGCAATACAATACAGTTTTATAATGTAGAGTTGTTGGCTGATGTGTGGAACTTTATTTCATTATTTCTTAAGATCTATATTATATGCAGTCTATTGCATGTATATTACAATGAAGGGAAACACCTTAATAAAGTTCCACTTACAAATAAAAATGTTCTTTTTATCTGAAAACACAAAAAACACTCATTTTTTTTCATTAATGCAGAAACAAAACCTGAAGAGATTCCTGAATCCCAGACTGATGATCAAAAGAATCACATTCACATCCCATCCAAACGCCGAAGATCACAAACAGAGACTGAAAAAGAAGACACCACGATAGGAGAAGGTAAGCTTGGAGGGTGGGGATGAGTTGCACAGGAGAGACCCATTGTGGATAAAATGTAGCCTCCCCTCCTCCTGGTTGTCAGTTTCTGAAGCAATTTAGTTTATAGCCACTTCTTTAGCCTTTGTTATTTTTTGTCAAGGAAATTATACCCCAGCACAGGAATATACAGGTCCAGTTGACAAAGTCAGCTATTAACTAGTTACTTAAATTGACATGTATATATTTTTTCTTAGTAGAAGATTATTGGTTTAACATTTGAGTTTGTTACATAGACAAAAGGGGAAAACAGAGTATAGGCATGTAATCTTTCTGTTAGCTATTGCAAAGCTGCCAATTTGGCAACATCATTGAATTTGGGAAAGAAGAGAGTATAGTTGCCAAATACCAACTATGCAAATTAGATTGAGTACAGAACCTTCAAGAAATGAGCAGCTTTGTTAAGCTCTGCTTTGTTGTTTAGTCTTACTTGTAGCAATATGTATTATTGCCCACATTGTCCATTATGCCAGATGACTTTACTTGTTATATTGTTAAATCGCCCTTGGAATTGGTGCCAAGCAGAGAAAAGATAAACATTTTCCTCAGACTAATACCTTGCTCTTGTCCTACAAAGAATGCAGAAAAGAGGAAGACAGAGGGCAAAACACAAGATAGCTTTACCAAGTATGGATATGATACATGACAAATATTCAGATAATTTCCGTGGGTCTGAAGCATTTAAAAACATATGCTCTAAAGAGAATGTTCCTATTTCTTCTGAGTCCGTGATCATATTTTCTGCTTGAAAAGTAATACCAGCCTTACTGGTTCTGAGTGCATGTTTAACCAAAAAATAGCTGTCCAATGTTGTTCTGCCTCTAAATAGTTTAGTGAGCTCTGGTATGTGTGCATGCACATGTGTGTAGCAGTTTATTTGCCTGTTTGTACTTTTTTTTCTATGGAGAAAATAAAAGGTTTTTGAAAAACCTTTTTTTGAACTAATTAGCAAGCCATGCTCTGGCTCCTGGACCTACACCAAAAGGTGGTAGGGGGTGTGGGGCAAGGTGGGGGTGGGGGTGATGAAAAGAATGGAGACAGAGAGAAGAAGACAGGCACTCTTTCCAAGACCATTTTAATTTTGGTTTCTAGAACCCTCTGTCCATATTATTGCATATAATCTTAGGACAGGTGTCTGAAAACTGCCGTGTGGATCAGCTCTTGGTGTTCAGCTGCATTCTTGAGCAAATGGCAGATGTGATGCTAATCTCTCCTCTAATCTAATATGACTATCTCCATGAATCTCAGTTACTCTGCTTAAATTCACTACGTTAAACAGTCCACAATGCCTGGGTGTTTTATTAAGGAACATTTTTTATGTGGTGGCTTATTAATAAATTATCAGGAATGAGACAAGGGGCAGAGCTCCTGTGGAAGGGTTTAGATTGAAGAGATGGGAGCATCAAAGAGGCCATTTTATTAGGACATCCAAGTTAAAAATAGAAAGATGTGTTATTCGAATCCTCCCCTGGGGATTGTAGAGGATTTGTTTCCTATCTTCTAAGCTTTGTCCAAATCTTAAGACCATCGTTCCCAAGGCAAGTAATGAGGCATCTCCTTTTCTTTGGAAATTATTACCAGCTACAAAACACCTAATTATTGCCAGCTAAAAATAAATTTGATTTTATTCCATTATTTCCATGGCTCTTTAGCCTCCCCTTTTCCCTTTGTGTTTTTAACATTCCAACATTTGCTGATAAAGTGATCAGCTGTCTCTCCCATTGGCACTTTGTCTTTACTAAGTGCTACCATAGCCCTTAAGATAATTTAGCTGGTGCAACTGAGCATTCCCACTAGATTCCGTTTGTAAACTCACCATGTTACAACTTTTACCAAAAATCACATGGATGCAATAAGGGTGCTAGAGAGTCGTGATGGGTAAGAAGGGAATAAAGCATCTATCCCTTATATTTTACCATTGTTAAGATTTTTGAGCCATCTTTTTTTTTTTTTTTTTTTTTTTTTACAATTGTTTTATGGCAATCCTCAAAAAACTGCACATTTCATTCTCTCTAGTTTGCTAAAAATTTCCAGTTTCTTGAATAGACTTTCAGCCTAGGTGACAATCCACTTTCTTGTCTCACTCACTTTTTTTTTTTTGGCCATAAAACAAGTCTTAATACATTTTAAAAAACTAAGATGATAGAAAATATGTTCACTGACCACAATAACAGAAGGAAATTTAGAAAATTCACAAATATATGGAAATTAAACAACACTCTCCTAAATAATGTGTAAAAAGAAAAACCATAGGGAAATCAGGGAGTACTTTGAGATAAAAATAGATGTCCTCTTCTTTTTCTGGTCCCACTGCTGACTCCCCTTGTGTCAATGCAGCTGAGTGTCTGGCGGGCACCTGCATAGTGGCTGTGGCTACTGCTGTGGAATCGAGCTGCTTTGGGGGCAGCCGTGGCCTTGGCAGTGGCTGTGCTGGGCCACCTGTATGGAAGTGGTGTTTTCAGTGTGTTCCTTGCCTGATTGCAGGTGTGGGGTGAAGCCCTTGGCTCCTGCCTCAGGACCCCGAATGTGCTCTGTTGCTTACCTGGTTATGGGCGTAGGGGGTGGCCTCAGCCATCTTTTGAAATATTGTCTGCTCATGTCACTCTGCTACTTATAAGATTTAATTATTTCCCATTGTCAGAGAGTCAGGAAAATGTGACAGTTAAGAGCATGGAACCCACGAGTCACCCATGCTCTCCTGTTAACTGACTTTGTAGCCTCAAGCAAGACAATCAACCTCTCTGTGACTTTCAGTTTTCTCATTGCTTCAATTGCCATAATAGTATTGCCCACACTTAGGGCTGTTGTACAGATTAAGTAAATTAATATTAGTAAAGAGTGCAGAAGAATTCCTAGCACATGGTGTGTGCTATACATATGTTAGTTACCATTGGTTTTTCTTGCTGTTTAAGACGCAAAGCCCTCCAAGACTTGACTCTGTCCTGTCTTTCTGACCTTGTATGTTGGATTTCACCCTCCTGCCCCTGCACACTCTCACCACACTCGCTCACTCACCCCAGGACTTGTCTCACATCTTCCTACTCATTTTCTTGCACAGTTTCTCCCAATTGGATTGCTTTCCTTTACCTGTTAACATCTCCCTAAGCTTTAAGCACTAGCTGAGATGTGTTTTTCTATGTAAAGCTTTCCCCAGTCCCTTTCTCCTTAGTTAAAATGAATATTTTCCTCACTGGGTTTGAAGAATACTGAATGTGTGCATCTACATTAGCACATATAGTCTTTGGAATTCATTGTACTAGTATAGATGACTCTCGGTTCCCATAAGCTGGTGGTTCTCAACCAGTGCAATTTTGCTCCCCAGGTAGAGTCATAACTCATCCTGGTTTGCTCAGAATTGTCCCAGTTTTAAAACTGAAAGTCTTGTGTCCCAGGAATTTCCTCAGGTCCCAACAAACTGGTACAGTTGGTCACCCTATCTCCAGAGGACATTTGCAATGTCTTGAGGCATTCATGTTGCCACAGCTTGGGAGAGGGGGAGTACTACTGGCATCTAGTGAGTAGAGATCAGGGATGCTGTAAACATCTTACAGTAGACAAGACCACCCCCACAACAAAGATTATCTAGCTCAAAACATTGATAAGGCCAAGGATGAGAAACCCTGGCTCTTCCTCATCTTTCTAACATTTAGATGAAAGCCTGCTGGAAAGACTTAATAAACATAATTAGATTTTATCTCTCAATAAATATTAAATAAGTACTTACTTATCTCCTGATATATATATATGTATATATAGTTACAAAGAGATGATATTTGGTCCCCTATCTTTTATGAATTTCCAATATGGTTGGGACATAAGAATAATATTTTGGGAGAAATTAGAATGATTCAAGGCAATAAACAATTAAATATGAAGCAAACACAACAAACAGTATGTATTTGAAGAATTTAAATATGGGTGAGAATGCTAAAGGAAAGAAAGAATATCATTATCCTAAGTTACATGTTTAGCCCCTCTAGCTCCTAAATCATATCACACTGTTTCAAATCCCATTTTCAAGGGTTTTGTTGCCCAGTTTGCACAAACTCAGGTTTGTTTAAATGCCAGGGAAGAAGTCCTGTTTTGCTGTGTCAAAGCTCAATTTTGCATCATTCCTTTTCACCTGTTCTCTGGTTCCCCTAAACTGGTCAATAGCTCCCAAATCTCCCAAGCAAGACCCCTCAGAGTTACCTTTAACTCCTAGTTCTCCCTTTGCCACTCCGTCCTCTTGCTTGCCGAGGTTTATCTCTTCTACCTCTTCCATGTCTTTGGTTTTCCTCTCTCCCACTCTCCACTCCATTTCACAGATATGTCTTCAGGTTAGTGTCATTTAACACACTCCTTCTTGGAGCCTACTCCCCCACTCCCTGTCCCTTTTCCCTCTATACACAACATAGGCCTCCCCATTTCAAATGTCCTTCTCTAATGTATCCACATACCCAAAGTCTCCATTTCTACAAATCCAGGATCGAATACGTTTTCTCTTTTTCAAATTCCCTTATCTAGAAGGAGTAGTTCCCTTCTCTCAATTTTTATAATACTTCCCTCTTGTTCACTTAACACCTTTTGTATGTGATATTTATTCATGTTCATCTGATCCAGATCCATTGGTATGAATTCTCTATCTTTTCTAATTCCAGCAGTACTTTTACCATAGAGGTTTAGGATATTAGACCACTGATAACTATTATTGAGTGAATGATGAAGACAGAGATGAAATGGTCCCCCTCCTTTCCATTATCCCTTTCCAGAGACCTATGGATTCCAAAAGTTATTACAACTGCTGAAGAAAAAGGCCCTCACCTCTTCTAAAAGAGATGTAGAAAGTTTATCCAGGTTCACAAAATTAACAACATCTTTTGTTTCCAAACAATGGGCGTATGTGACTGCTTGCTTTTAGGCAATGATTTCTGCTGACCACTTCAGCTTCCTCTTCCAATTTCCTTGCCATCACCTTTGTCTTTGAAGGACAGCCACTGCTACAGACCTTGCTGCTGCCTTCTCCAAATTGTGCACAGATATTTGCCTGGCACTGCCCACTTTTCTTGTAGAATTCATGCAACCAATGGTGGGAATAGAAATTGACACATAAAAAAGGCTGGCTGTTATGCACATGTGACTATGAACATCAACTTCAGAGATTTCTATCTCTTCCACTTGAGAGAACTATTGACTATAAATGGTATGATTTGTGAATATAAAATAAAAAGCACTGTTCTAAGTACAAATCTGTAAGAATGACAGGGAGAGGGGAGCAGAGGGATGGCCTGAAGATGTCTGGAAGCAGTGAAGAGCAAAACAGCTGAGGATTAGAAATTGCACCAAATTTCCAGGCAAGTAAAACTGTATTTGGAAATCATTAATAAATAGCATGTTCATGTCACATAAAAAAATGTGAGCATCCCCTACTTTAAAAACATAAATAAAATCTAGCACTTATTCCATAAGAAAACTTAAAAAAAATCAGGAATATCAGCATGCCCACTAAATAAGATGAAGAGTTCCAGTGCTATTTGCATCCAAGATCCAGTATCACATTCGATAATGAAATATTAGAGAAATTCCTATTCACATGGGGAGAAAACACTTAACTCATTCTTACCATAATTTTATAACATATATTTTGGAATCCTAAGAAATGCAGCCAGGTATAAAACAAAATTAAGAGGACAATGTTGGAGATGGTTTGCAGATATAATTTAATGTTAATTTAAAAATTTCAACTATTAATTTCTGTAATTTATAAATAACTTGAGGAGTAACTTACTCAAATATAATTTTAACCTACAAAAAATAATATATAACCCAATGGTATACACTTAGAAAATATAGTGAACTATACCACAGTGACCAAGGGATATGCTGTCTTGGAAAAAAATCTTAAGAAGATATATGTTGAACTTATATACTGAATAATCTAAAAAAACTTAAGTACATAGGGAATTACAACATATTTCTAATTAGGTTTATTAATATTGCAAAGACCTCAGTTATTCCCAAATTAACAGGTTAAATGCAATTCCAATCATTTTATACAGAGTAGAACAGCATAGGATGATTCTAACGTTCATCGGAAAACACAGACTAATGGTACAAACCAGTTTTCTAAAAGAAATAGATTTTATGGCAGTTGGAATAGGTAGCTGTATCAGAGAGATAATATTTATTACTATTCTTAAGACAATGCGATACTGACACAAGAATGTATGGGCACGTTAGAGGAAATAGCCCCAATTAGATAGATATGGACATATCTATATAGGTGTAGATATAAACATTATAAAATATATGTATCCATGTAATATATGATAAAAGAGGAAATGAAAATAAAGGAAAACAAAATCTAAATGGGGCCAATAAATTTGACTGTTTTGAACATTTATCCATCTGAAGTCACACTTCAAAAAGTACACAAAAGCAAATTTTTGATGGATTAATGAGTTAAATTAGGTTTACTAAAATACATTCATTGCTACAGGATCACAAAAACAATAAAATGGAGATCACTTATGATAAAATGTGTGTTTAGTTCCACATTATATTTTTATATTTCACTAATTTTCATACCTTCCTGATTTGTCATTTGTCCCAACAAGCATTGCTTGTTAAAAATAAATAATATTTTTTTACTTAAAGGAACAAATAATCTAGACAGGACATGGCAATAATAATGTTAATTATTGCATATACATTCTCCAAATGTGGGTAGGACTATTACCCTTACTGACAAATGAGAAACCAAAGTGGCCTATGTTCTTTCTGTTGGCTGATCAGTTGTCCATCTCTCTGCTTCAGAACCTGTTCAGGCTCAAAGGTCCAAATAATTATATGGAGCTTTCTGTACTGAATCTAGGCCATCTAACACTGAATACTGCACACAGAACTGGGCTGGGAAAATATGAATGGGGTGGAAGGAGGTGTGTGTGGGGGAGGGGAGATTCATTGTTAATGTTCTCATTGCAAAAGAAGCCAGTGACTGGTACCCACACGAATTTTAAAAATCACAGGCACAGCATATATTTGTTGCTCAAGAAAGTTTTGGAAGCCAGCAGAGGTTAAGGATAGCTGGAAGAGTTATAGCTGACTGTGGGTGGACCTGGAAGGACCCCCAAACCAATGAGTTCTCCTTTTTGTGGAGAAAGGATATATGTTCCCCACGTTTTATCCCATTCTCCCTAATACTTGATCAAATCCACCAGTGGGACTTGAAGAGGCATGGAGGGGCAATTTGAAATCCCATCTTTCCATTTTAATGGGGACTCATCAACAAGGAGGAGGTAGAAAGGAGGCTTGCCAATTCATGTGTTTTGATGCTCACTATCCTTCCTTCGCTAAAACCCAAACATTCAGCTGAATGCCTTAGGAAACATATCTGCTATAAATTCATTTTTTATCTAATTTGTCTGAGATCTAAGCTTCCTGTGGAGGTCCGAGATCAAAGGATCTGATTCTTTCTGATGTCGGCACTGACATATAATGTGTGCTGACTTAGTTCTGTCTATAACCTCACAGTGGGAGGGGGCCAGCCTCCCTGGGCACCTTTACACAGGGAACTTTCATTTCAGCTGGGGAGTCTGACAGGTATGTTGCTGATTGGAGCTGCCATGTAAATAATTCATGGGCGATTTTTAAATGTTTTTGGGTCTGCAAAGGAAATCTATGCTTGTGTTAGTCTTTTATGAATAGATGCAGACGTGAAGAACAAGGGGGAACAGATTTCCAGTGAAGGTCTCTCAAAAACAGGATAACAATATCTTCAATGGATTGAAAATAGGTGACTTGCAGTGTCTGATTCCTCTTATATAAAATGCTATTGGTTTTACCAAGGGATGAAAATTCAAAGCCTTTTTTCTTTTTTAAGTTTGCTTCTACCTAACAATTTATTATTCTTGTTTTTTGGTTATTTGCTGATCCTGATAAACTATGTCTTTTCCTCCCAGTGAGAGGAGTAATTATGGAGATAATACCAAGCGCAGTGCTTGGCATAGGACTGGGCATAATGAGGGAACGAGGTTGATGGCACAAAAAACTGCTTTCCCTGAAGGAACTCAAAGTCCTACGAAGAAGATGAGGAAAGGTGACCAATAATAGAAGCAGCTGCTCAGGTCATACGAGAAACTCCCGTCAACAAGTATTGAGGCATAAATCAGTGTAGTTTGAGCTGTCAAGAAACACTTCTGGAAGGAGTCACAGATCCCATAGGAAAACTTAGGGTAACCTGAAAGTTCTCAGAGCTTTAAGCAAGAGAATCATTCCTTAGTTAGGTGGCTGTGTCAGATACATGCTCGGCAAAAGGACTGTGGAAAAGGAGAAAAGATATGAATAACATGGGTTTATCAGAACATTAACCAATGTATCATGGAAACGACATGAACGGCATGATTACTTTATCTCATTTTACTGTTCTAAATCAAAAGCATTTTACATATATTTATATAACTTCATTCTCTTATTCTCAACACACTTTCCATCCATAGTTAGATTAAATTGAAGTAGGAAATTGGTACATTTTACCCTAATATTGTCCTTTTTATAGTATAATATAGACATGATTACTGTCTCCTAACACAAACGAAAACAGTTCTCAATAAACGGAGGAACATAATATGCAGATTAATAAATTAGCATCTGCATTTTATATACATATTGTATATACACATTTAATATACAATGAAAAAGGTGGTGAGGTGTGAGAAAAGCAGAAACAGTAAATGTAGATGACAATATTGCCACCTACCCCCCAGGGTTTCAGGACAGGTCTCAACCTTTTTTTCACTGTAAGGCACATGAAAGGTGACATACTCTCATGCGTGTATCCAACCAAAAATCAACTGATTACTAATGTTATACTCTTCTGTGTTAATTTTCAATTCTTTTTAATGGTAAAATAAAATATAAATGAAATGTCATGTGAAGAAAACAATAATTAAAACAGATTGCTAAAATAAAATACATTCCAGTAAATTGCTAAGTAGCACCTGAGAAATGATAAAATTATACAACTGAAGCCCAGAGAAACTAAGTGACAGGATGAAAGTCACAAAGCCAGCCAGCAGAAGAAGGGGAACTTGAACTCTGATTTTTCTGCTCAAGTCCAGTGTGCCTTCTCTCCTCCTATTACACAATCTTACATGTACACACTCATACAGATACATGTTTATTATTTATATTATCTCTACATATGTTTACATTCATGTTTTTATAAAATTAAAGATATTTAAATTGTGAATTTGGCATAAAAGCCAAAGTATTAGATAAGACTGATTTTTAGAGTTCACATTTCTTAGTACAGTTGTGAGTTGGCCCATTGCTAGGGCCTGATCATAGTCCAGTTTTTATATTTAAGCCTTCTGCTTCCAGTGAAAAATTCCTGTTAACTTATCAACATCATAAAAGTGTTTTTCTGGGAAGCAGAATTATCAAAGTTTTATTAGATATTTAGTATTAACAACAAATTGAGAATGAGATACAGTGTTTTTTTACATTTTTATTTTTATGTTTAAGGAAAAATATATTTCCAAAGATATTTGGAAATCAATAAGCTGATATAATTCAGACTTTTATTATTTGACAATATCTTGCCAGGGGTGCTAACTATGCAAAATGTGTAGTCAACTGATTGAAAACTTCACCCATTTTTTTTCTCCGGCTTCTTTTTTCCACAGATATGAGGATGAAAGTCATGCTGGGCAAGCTGCACCAGCTCCCCCAGCAGTCATTGAACGGAGTGTCCAGAAGGAAGGTTAGCCGCTGTGCTGTCCCAGGGGAAGAGGCTGCGGCTCCTGCTCCCATTATTACCAGCGTCACCTCTCATGGGCACACCTGCACTCCAGCCTCTCCTGCTCGACAGGTGTACCTGCAGGAGACTGGGAACTGGAAGGAGGCCCAAGAGCAGTTGCTCAGATACCAGCTGGCAGGCCAAGATCAGCTGCTGCTGCTATGCCCAGACCTCAGACCAGAAAGGCAGCAGTCACAGGGGCAGAGCCAGCTGAACAAGGAAAGTGGCAGCGTGGGACTTTCTCAGAAGAAAGCCTCCTGTGGTGCCACCGAGGCTTTCTGCCTTCATTCAGTACACCCAGAAACTATTTAGGAGCAGCTGTGATCAAGGGGAAGTGGTGTGGGCATTTGGTCTGAAAGGAAGAATGTTCAAATATTTCTGGATAATCAGCAGGGGAGGTGATGACCGACCTGCAGGGACAACTAAGAAGGAAGAATGTGAATTCTGAATCCCCTTTTCTACTTTAAAATGGAAGACAGCCATATAAATGCTTGCAGACTTAAACAGTGTCTGATATGTCTTTTGAATCTATCACTGATCCTAGCCCAATGCCAGGCAAATAACAGGTTCTGAAACAGTTGTTAATTTTTTACTTGTTTTTAACTTAAGTCAGTTTATTCCTGTTTTGTCAACCAAATAATGGTGTAATACTGACTTATACCAGTAGGGGTTGTTATTAAGCTTCCTTTAGTATGACCACCCACAATGCTCTGGGCTTCTCTTCTGGAAGGGATCATGAAAAGGCCTGGTCGACTGCTTTTTATTCTGCAGTGCGGTGTTACAGAAAACCACTCCTTTATCTTGTAGGAACCTCACAAGGACAGAGGTTGTGGCTCCTGTTCCCTGATCTGTCAGAGCTTACCTTCCAAAAGGCAACTTTCTGGTTTTTTACAAGTGGATTTTATTTCATGGTTTAAATTCAATCATTATTGGGAGCCCACAGTAGTACAAGCACATCATGCACCTCATGAGTATTTACACATGGAAATTTATATTCTCATGGGCTTTGTTGAGATTTTAGTTAAGAACAAAGATGTGAAAATATCAAGTCTGGAGAAGGAAATATCCAAGGATGATAGTTACATTTTCAGTGGTTTTCTCTGTTAGTAGCTGGGTCAAATTTATGAGTAGAAGACAACTATATGGGGAGACCAGAGATAACCAAGTGGCCAAGTGGATTATTGGCTAATTTTGTTATCAAAGACCTGCTTTTTGGAGAAGATAAGGCATAGAACTGTCCAACGAAGATGAAGAGAGATTATATCATGTGAGCCTCCCTGGGCTGTACTAGGGGGTTCTAATGGAGACCAGAACAAAGGATCAACTGAGGTTGAGAATTTGGGTAAGCATGCTAAAGATAAATTCACCTAATTCATACGCTTGTACAGGGCCCATCTCTGTTCAAACTAAAAGATACTTTAACAGCCTTACTGTGTCCTTGACTCTAGATCCAGAAGACTTTATGCTCCAAGGGTAAAAGCAAAGGCAGCAGAAGTGAGGAGAAATTTCCAGAAAGAGATTGCTGTCAGATTTTCCCAAAATATAAACCAGAATTTTCCAGTCTCTGAAAGGTTAAGAGGCTGTCCTGTGTTTGAGTTGGAACAGAGCAAGGAAACATACTCTTCCATTGCTGAGTTTTAAATAATGATGCCCTGGAATTAGTCCCACAGGAGGTATTCACAGAAAGCTGTCATCTATAGGGCATTAGTGGGAAAGTATGTCTCACCCTACTATGAACTGGCAGGAACACTCTCAGCCTCTTTGTTCATTCTTTTGGCATCTTGCATACATTTCAGATCTCATGGCTGCCCCTAAAATGAGGTGAGCATCCTTCTCTGTGGCACTGTGCTGGATTCTGAGGGAGATATAAATGGACATTAAGGTTGATGCTCTTCCAAGAGATTTTAATCCAGGCTGTGTAGGGACGGCATTCAAAGGCAGTCTGACCTATAGAAATTTACTCTAGAGGTACAAGCTGGCTGCCTGCAGAGTAAATCCTCTTTGTAAATGTATTTTGTTTGGGCACCAACAGTGTTTAAAAACATAACAAAACATAATGTACTGAAATATCATATCATACTCCATAAATATATACAATTATCATGGATCAATTAAGAAAAAAGTAAATTAGAAAGAAAAAAGTTGCAGATGGAAGTACATTAGAGGTTACCAGTAATGGGTGGGGGGAGGGGAGGAATATGGGAAGTTACTGCTTAGTGGGCACAGTATCTATATTTAGGATGATGAAAAAGTTTTGGAAATAGAGGTGACGGTCACATGGCATTGTAAATGTAATTAATTCCATGCAATCATATGTTTGAAAATGCTTAAAATGGCAATCGTTATGTTATATGTTTTACCACAATTTTAAAAATGGAAAATAAAAAAGAGTGACTAAAATAAAGAATAGTGGCAACTTAAAAAAAAAACAATGTAAAATTACTTGAAGACTTAGGCAGAACATGCCTTCTCTAGTTTAATTAGTCCCAGCTATAACCAGTTCTTTGTCTCATTTTTGTTGCTTCATGGTTTATGAAGTCATTTGCCTTTGCAGTCTTTCCTTTACTGCATACATTGCGTATGCAAAGAGCTGTAATCTCCTTGGATAAAAAACATTTCACTAATTAAGCCTTTTGAGGATTATAACATGGTAGCAGTTTTGGTCCTTGCATTACCTGCTCAGAGTTGAGGGTTTATCTACACATTTTCTCTTTAACTCCAGTGACTTCTTCCACCACTTCAAATTCTAGCCCAGATATTTTTCCAGAGCTCTATACCATGTATTTAGAACTTTTAGTAGGTGATCCCATGGCCACTATGAGGTTGACAAAGCCTTATGCTTTTCTGACTCATTGAATGACATCCCTGTACTCAGACCAGAAATCTAGAAGCCAGCCATGATTCATCATTCTATCTCACCCTTCCCAAATAGTCAGCTACATGCTCTATTATTTTTACACCTTCTTTACCCTTCTCCAATCTTTGCTATCTCCTTATTCTCCGTGCGCCACAAGACTAATCTTTGTGGAAGACAAGTTTTATCCTATTCCTCTGTTTAGGGACAATCATAATTAAGCTATCAATTCCAGATCTCTAAGCTTGGGATGTCTAAGTCCAAAATTGACTCTTTGGTCCTGAAGAGCAGCCAGAAACACCCAGAGTAACTTTCAAGGCTCTCGCATGGAATTTCAGAGTCTAGCCAGAATTCTCCAACCTATAGTTAAGCTAGTCCTTTTTTTCCTTTTTTCTCCTCAAAAAATGGGAGAATTGGGCAAATACTGAAAGCAAAGAGAGCAGTTCTGTTGCTTTGCGTTCCTTTGCCCCCCCACGTATTTGTCACTCCACTTCCCCTGGGTGACGGAGATGCAAAGGATTACTCAAAGCCCATCTCTTCTGAGCAGTGAGAGGCTCTGAAGTGGTTAATCTCTCACCAGAACCCTCAAGCAAGAGGGATCCCTTCCTTGGGAAATTAACACCAAATTGGGGTTCTCTTCCGGCATTTATTTTCCAGACCAGGAAGTTACAGGAAGAGAACATAGGTGGGGTTATAATTTAACAATATAGGCTGGTAACTTTCAGTGAAACAAGTCAGATGACATTCCAGTAAGGCAATTAACAAAAGCTTGATCTTAGCAAACATTCCTTCTCCTTCTAAGAGTTTTCCAGCAACTTAGATATCAATCAGTAACTAATCTATCTTTGAGCCAGCAACCTTACCATGCCACAATTCTTATCTTGCAACAGAGACTTATAGCCTGAGGAAAATTTCCAGTCCTCCACAAGGTCAATATTTGAAACTGCAAGGCTTTGGAAAACCAGGCCCTGTGAAGTACATATGCTTTTTAGTATATTCCACACAGCTCCGAGATTTTAGTTAAGAATGTTCATATCTGGAGATGAGCCAATTAGATAGAGCACCACTGCAGGCTGACCCTAAACTTACTCAGATTATTAACATAGGTAACCCAGTCAGCATTTCCCAGCAGTGAAAAGCTAGACCTTTTATCCAAATAAATAATTGAAAAATGTCTCCTTCCTGTGTTATTTCATAGAATCATTTCTTGCCTCCCATTTCTGATTTTCTATCCATGACACACTCCGTTCTTTCAAGAGATTAAACAAGCTAAAGTTCTAGAGAGTTTTAAAATGTTTGAGAGTAGATTTTTTAAGTGTTTGCATCACAAAAACTAAATACATGAGGTATATATGTTTTAAAATATGTTGTACATGATAAATATACACAATTGTTATTTACCAATTAAATAAATTTTAAAAATGTCTGTAAACATTTACAGATGTCAAAATTGAGAGAGAAGTAGGAAAGGAGCTAGGATAGTTTTGGCCATCTCTCCATACTTTTGAAATTGTGTGCAGCGAAGGTACCAGACATTGACAGAACTCCATGTCTTTCCCAGAGTGAGTGACTAAGCCAGTATGACCCAAGTGTGCCCTGTAGCAGACTTGGCCATGTCATTGCCCAATGGAGCCACCAAGTACCAAGAAGACTTGAGCACTCTCAGAGCCCATGCCTTTCCAAGATTATTCAGTTGAATGACTCCCTTCCATCCAGTAGTCTAGCAACAAATGTATGAAATTACTATACATTCAAATCTATGCAAACTATATGCAAAATGAGTATAGGGAAATTGAATGTAAATCACATGCAAATATTATTCAACCAAGCTTCTATAAAATTGTACATGTCAATACAGTAAAGAATTTTAATTAATTCTGTCATTTAAAATTCAAATATTTATTTCTTATTTTGCTTTCAGAATTTATAATGTATTCAGTGTCAATTTTGAAAAAGCTATAAACAGAAGGAATTAAACATTATTGAGCATAGAATAGTCAATTTCAACCTACATTATACATTGTGACCCATTACAGATATATTTGAGAAACAAATCACATGTAGCCAACATGTATTTCCAGAATGTAATTTTTAATAAGAGATAAACATTTTTATAAAGTTAAATGAGATTCAAATGGTAGAATACAGATTCGGGTGTTTATAAATATTCTTCTGGCATTTGTTGTTTTTAGGCTTCAAATAAGTTACTAAAAACTGAGGATTTCTTTGCTTGGAACAATTCAAGAAAAGAGTGTATTTTGCCCATAAATCTGGTCTGTTTTGAGACAGAAGATGTAATGCATTTGTAGAACTTTCTAGAATTTATTGGGATGCAAAGAATCAATTGTTTTTATATCTTCTCTTATTTCAGTCTCAAAATGATCTTATTTACTACTATCATCATACCAATTAGTAGCTATAACAAAGTAAAAGAGTCAATTTTCTTTTGAAAAATGTGCGAAGTAGCCACTCTTCACTCCATTTTATAGATGAAAAACACAGCGAGTTTTCATAACTCTGTTATGGTCCAAGGCAAATTAGGAAATTTGTTTGGACTGTACCTGTTTCCCTTTTAAAATTTTCTTAATTTAATGGTACATTCAGCCAGTAGAATAACTGATACAAAAAATTATTCAAATTATACTGTTAC